AGGATTCACCAAAGACAGAGTGGGGAGCAGAACAGGCAGATTAATGAAGTACACTGCTGAGGGGAGCAGCAGGCGGGTCAGGAGAGGTCTGCTGTGTCATATGGGTCACCTCCTGGTGGGGGGTCGAACTTGCACTGAAGCAGCAGCAGCTAGCTTGAAGTACTGTGTCCTAACCCCTTGCACCTACTAGCACTCTTTTAAAGCATTGAATTATCTCACTAACATTGTTTTATTGATTTCCTCTTGTTACTATTCAATTGACTATTACTTCTGTTAAGTATGCACCGAGGAACTTAATAGTTGGGTTTTCAATTGATCAGAGAGTCTTGTGACTGGCACTATCTATATGTGGACTTATTTCGGCCATTTCCTAGTACTGTTTTTATTGCTTTGTCTCTTCTTTTTCACTGTGTCAAAAACCTGTTTTTCCTTTATAGAAACAGAATCCCCTCCTTTTGGGGATTTTGGGAATATGCTCTGGCCATATTCTCTAATTTATCCAAATTTCCTTGGGAAAATAGTTTGGATGGACTTGTCTCCTGTCCAAGCTTAGTTTTAGGCCTAACTTCCTTCAGAGTTAGTTTAGGGATTGGATGCAAACCAAGTCAGTTAGAATCCAACAAACCTTAGGCTTTTGTTGAAATTTGTGGGAAAGAGAGTTCTTTCTCTGGAGCTTGAAACGAGTAGGTGATCATCTTGCCACCATGTATGAAAAACTTGTTTTGTACATTCACCATCTCTTAGATGACTCACATGTCACAGCAGACCTCTCCTGTCTCACCCACTGCTCCCCTTAGAAGTATAGTTCAATTTGCTCCTTACTCTGTCTCTGATGAATCCACTCACTGCCCCTGCACTGCTGGCCTGTACCCCAGTTCTGTATGCATAAATATTAAAACAAAAGTATAAAAATCATAATCTATATTGTCCATTGTAGTGAAGATTCACAGCATATTAATTACCCTGACCTTCTTTTATCTTAATGTTACTAGTTTCTGTAGTCAATACTTATCTAGTTCTAAAAATACATTAGCTAATTTTTGTTGGTGAAGATTGCTTATTACATTCACTAGTTTCTCAGGGATCTAGAATCCATTTACCTTCCTGATGAATAGTATCAATTTATTCTTTCAGAGATTGGACATTTACTGCACTTCTTAATGTCCAAAAAAGTCTTGCCTTTAAATACAGAATAGAATTCTAGGTTGAAAGTTACTTTCTTTGCAATGTTTAAATGATACTGCTCCATTTATTTTGTGTTCACTTTGTCTCTATGGAAATTTTCAGTTCTCTTATGTTCTAAAATTTCATTCTACTACAGAATTGGCAAATTAGTCTGTGATCCAAATCTGTCTTGCCACCTATTTTGGTCCAGCCCATGAACTAAGAATGGTTTTACCTTTTTAAATTTGAAAAAAATAAACAAGAAACAACTAAAAGAATATTTTATGACATGTAAAAATATCTATTTCTATACTTGTGTTTGCTTGGAATACATTCACATTCATGTGTTAATAGGTATAGTTGCTTTCATATCACAACTGCATAGCTAAGTAATTATGATAAAATATGTATTACCTGGCCAGGAAAAATGTGCTGATTCTACATGCATATATGATTCCATTCATATGGGACTATATATGACATATATAGTTTAAAAAGTCAAAATTCTGGTAATGATCTGGTTATTAATTAGACTGCATTTTACATGGGTTTCTTACTCTGTAATACCCCAAATCGAAAACCTTTCAGCTTTATTATTCAGACAAATGATTTTTTTTTCAGTAAACATTTTTTTCCTTTTCACTTCTAAGCAAATGAGTAGACTTGTTTTAGGGGCGCACTGCTCTCCTATCTGTCTAGCTGTAGTAAATATACTCAACCTGATGTCTTGTTCTGACTGCTGTAAGTGTCCTCCAAAGATGAAAATTCTTCCATTTATTATTTATCAATACCTGTCAGCTGTTTAATATTTGTCTACTTTTTCATATAATTAAGAACAGACTGCTGACTGTAGTATCTGCTCAGGAGTGGGCAATGTGGAGTTGCTAGTGTTTTAAATGAAAATATATGGGTCATGCTACTTCTATAGATATTTCAGTGGTAGGGATTTCTTGGTTGTGAGATTCCACATTCACTGTTTTGTCTTTCTTTTAGGAAAAAGATGGGGTATATAGATTTTAACATCTGAAGGCTTCCAAGAGCATCTTGATTTCAGTTAAATTTAGATATATACATAGGTGCTGCTTCCATTATCTGTTGCAGTTATTTTCTGCAACTTCCTGCAGAGAACCTAAGCTCTGGTTCCCTTTTCAATTTGATCCTGTCAGCTTTTAGTGTTCTGCTGAAAGTTTCTCTTCTGAATTCATGTGGTGCTTATTTTTATATGGTGTGAGACTGGCTTAATATGTACTTTATGAATGGCCTATGGTAATACCACATACATATTTATCTGTTTATCTGTTTTCAGGGAATAGTTTATTAGTCTACATGTTTCTCCTTTTTTTTTTGGGGGGGATTTTGCTTTAAAAATCAGATGTTATCAGGGCAGCTATTTCTGGGGGTATATTCATTATTTTTTAAATCCAGTCTTTGTTGTGGTCCCATAATTGACTCCTTTCTTTCAATAGTGAGTGTATTTCACTTACATTTAATGATCTAAAAGTGTCTGTCTTAGTCCTGTCATCTCTAGTTTATGTAGTTTATGTGTGTGGTCTGTATTTTTTGTTGTGCATGTTTTCTGACTGAGTTAGAATAGTTAGGGTCTGCTTGGCTTTCTTTTTTCATATGTTTTATTTTTTTTATATAAGCAATCATCTGATTATAAAAAGATAACAATACATTTTTAAATGATTAAAAACACCATTTTCAAAACAACATTAAAAAGTATCTTTTCCATATCAGCTGATCAGCAAGTGGGTGAGTAGAATAACAGTTCACACTGTAACATGTTTAAATGAAAGGGTGACAGAGAAAGCTGGCTGAAGGAGGCAGAGGAACTCTGGCTTGTAGGAATTAGAACTGAGGGGGCTTCATAACTATGGCATCTATTCAGTGTGGTACCTATCATTAGAAATGTACATGACAACTCCAGAGATTTTCCTGTTATTGCCTTGAGGTCCTGATCAACCATGGCCACACTGTAACACTTCTGCTGAAGCTGTGCATGGTAATCATTCAAATCTTGGCTCCTTGGCCAATTCTTACTTAGATCCACTTGATACTTCTGGCCCAGTTTCCCAATTTCTGTCATTACATAGTTATACAAGCGATACACTTGCCATACAGGCAGTTCACTGTGACTGCACTAAGTCCAGTTTGTCTTTAATGGAAAGCTGATAAAACTTTTTTTATCAACCAGGATGTGGTAAGATGTTTCCAATTGTGCATTATATTGTAAGAATTAGCAAGAAGGGTGTTGGGTGACTTCTCTTTCCTTCAGTATACTGGGAACTTACTTTCATTTTTAATCTATCCTTTTCTTTAACTTAAACCTCTGAGACTAAGCATTTGTTGCAGGGTCACAGAGTACATTGCTTTTGCTTCCCTATGTTCACACTGCACTCTAATTGATATTCTTAACCCTTAACTGACCAGCTCTACAGGGTATCTACTGAATTCCTGCTAATAAAGCATACATACATATTTTCTTTTCATTTTAAACTGTTATTTCTAGGGTGACATATATATATTTCTTCCTCCTCTCCACATCCCAATTTTAGTGACACTGTTCCCACTGCCCCCGCCCCTCCAGCAGAATATTATGTTCTGATCTGTATCCTTTGTATGTTAGAATGGATAGAATGTTCACTATTATTGCTTTTCCACCATGGCTGCTCCATCTCTGGGCTCTTTATTTTAGCTAGTTTTATGGTTGTGTCCTTTTTATTTTTTGTATTTTTAAAAGATTTATTTTTTATATATACAAGGACTAGGGTGTAGGCCAGAGGTGCAAGGAGGGCGCTAAGGGGATTCACCAGAGACAGAGCAAGGAACAGAACAGGCAGATGTACTGAAATTTACTGCTGATGAGAGCAGCAGGCGGGACATCAGAGGTCTGCAGCATGATGAAGGTCACCTTCCCAGCTGGGGATCAAACCCATGCTGCAGTGGCTGCAGATAGCTTCATAGTGCTGTACCTTAACCCCTTGTATTACCAGGAAGGGCCTGATTGTGTCCTTTTAAAAAAAGAGTTCATGTCTGCTATACTACTCCTGTTACACACAGTTGAAATATCATCTGTATTTTTATGACTGAACGTCATAATTAGTATAAAATTTTAGTAACAGAAGTTCTTTCTATGGGGAAGTAGTAAGTATTGCTTCATGGTCTTCCAGGGTTCATCTTAAATTTTTTTGCTGATTCTGAGGAGAGTGTTTCCCTCTCCCCATCCCCAAGATTACTTATCCTCGAATTTTTTTTTTTTTAAAGATTTATTTATTCATACAGAACTGGGGTACAGGCCAGAGATGCGGAGGGTGAGAGGATTCACCAGAGACAGAGTGGGGAGCAGAACAGGCAGATCAAGGAAGTACACCCTGAGGGGAGCAGCGGGCAGGCCAGGAGAAGTCTGCCACACCATGTGGTCACCTCCAGGGAAGGCGGGGATCCTGCGGAAGTGGCTTAAGCTTCTCAGCGCTGCGCTTCAACCCGCTGTGCCACCAGGGAGGGCCCCTATCCTCGAATTTTGACAAACTCACTTCACATCTCAGCGGTCAATCATTAGCAGTGAGTCATAGATAATTTAAGTTCTTACTATGGCTCCTTTACAGAATTATACCTTGCTGTGAATTCTTTGTAGGAGTTACGTCCTGTTCACGGTTGACTGCACAAAACCAGGTATGATAAAAGTTTACTTTAAACATGATTAATTTTACTACTGATTTGCTTTAGTTCTGTTAGCGTCCTCCTACCTTGATTTAGAAAGTTGTCTTAATAATTCAGCTCTTAAAATAGCAGGCCCCTTTTTAAAAAGTTCTGTAAGACACAGGGAAACTCACCCTTCCTGGAGCTGAGCTTGGGCTGATTCCTCTGCCACAAGAGTCTCATACTCTTCAGCAGCAAACCTGTCCCAGTCGGAGGGCTCAGGCCCATCATTCTCAACATCCTTAGAGAAAAGAAGACAGCCACAGGAAACAAAAATACTGAGATACAAAGAAGTGGAGACAAGTCATCACAAATATTGTCCATTGCTTCAAAAAAAAAAGCTATGTAAAAATTGTTTCAACACATTAAGAGGTGTTAAGTAACTCATAAAATGATTTTCCATACCTCAAAATAGTAATCATTTAATTAAGTAATACAAATGATAATGAGTAATATAATCACAAAATTGTAATTAACCATCTGACCTTGTAGAGATCTTTCTCTAGCGCTTTGTACTCCAGTGTGTTTTGACTGCTTCTTTAAAGGTCAGCTCAAACTTAGGTCATCTGTCATATCTTCCTGGAAATTCTCCTTCTCCCCCAAATACTTTCCCTTGCTGTATTAAGTATTCTTGGAGGCCATCTTTTGTTCATTTTCATCCCTATATGACCAGGGTCTCTCTCTTCAATACAGTGCCTGGGTTTACTGAGTACTGTCTAATATTGTTCTTTGCAGATCATAACAAATATTGACAATTATCATCTCTTTTAAAGAAAATGACACTTTTAAGGTAAACATTTTAAAGTAAAATTTATGACACAAGAAACGGGGAAAGGCCATACACCTCGCACCCCACCTTTATGGTCAAGTATCTTATACAGTCTAGGTAAAATTATATTTTTCCACATGAAAATGAGTTAGCAATGCCCTAGAACATAAAGTTTGTTATGCTTGTAAGAATTCGAGTACCTAAATACTGACCACACAATGTTCTAATGTATTTAATTTTAACCCCTACATTACTCCTCTAACATCTCTGAAATAGGCATGTACCTCAGACTTATAATAGCATTTAAAATTAGTTATTTATTTTTACATCATTCCTCATTTTGTTCATTTTTCCATTTTGGTTTATAATAGCATTTTTAAAGGTACATAAAATCAATAAAATATAGTGTTGACTTTACGCTAGCAATATGCACTTTGGTATGCCCCAAGATCAGTTGAGTGTATGTATTTGTTTTTAGAAGGTGATCTTTGCATTCATAGTACTATTAGATCACACAGTTATGCAACATATGGAAGAAAAAAGAGACTGTGAAAGCTTCCTGTAGTTGTTCTTCTCTAGGACCCAAATAAAAGTTCTATTCAAGTGCAGAATGACTATAAACAGATAGTTATAAATAGCAATCACTAACATTTGAAAAATTTTATTATCTAAAAGGTTGTCTATCATGAAAAACTTCTAGTTTTCATTATGATAGGGAAAGCTATTTACCATGTCATTCTGGAAATGAACGATACAATTAAATCAAGCCCAATTATACTAAGGCAAATTGGGCTATTGGCAACTTTTTAAAAAAAAGTTAGAAAAACAAAATTATTTTCAAAATGTTTTTTCTAACTAGTTTTTAGTGAATATGTAAGTTTACATGTCATATAATTCACCTCAGTGAAAGGCAGATGCAGGTTAGCCTAACTTGAAGTTTGGCTGTGAAAAGAGGTGCTCTAGGTTTTCTCTTTTCTCTTTTCAGTATCTGATGAATGTTTTAAGTGTTACCTCTTTAAAAAGCAAGTCATGAAGGAAGAGACCATTTTAATCTGTGGCATGGCCCCTGAAACCATAGCCCTCACACAGTTTAAATTGTACTGTACCTTCTGGACGGCAAAGGGATCTCTTTGTTCATGATCTAAGTATTTCTCTAGATTAAAGAAAGTGTCATAAAAGATGTGAGCCATTCTACATCTCTTCAGGTCTCGTAGAGTTATTTTGCCTGTGTAAAAATGAAGACATTTGGTAAGTTTAACCAAGTACTATTTTGACAAGTGAAAAAACTTTCAATTAAGTGTAAAGGTTTATTTATATGTTTATTTTATTAAAAAGATTAAGCCACTAAAAGCCACTGAATCGTATGCTTTAAAATGATTAAGATGGTGCGTTTTATCTCCATCTTAATCATTTTAAAGCATACAATTCAGTGGCTTTTAGTGGCTTAATCTTTTTAAAGCATACAATTCAGTGTGTAACTATTACCACTGTCAAGTGTCATAACATTTGCAATACCCCTAAAGAAAATTTTAAATTTCTAAAGAAATTGCCTATCATTAAATAGTCCCTCAACTCGAATCATAATGTGCTTTTCTCTTTTTATACAAACCCTATTTCTTAAACAGGATTTGCCATCACTTGTTGGTTTTGTACTAATAGTAAAAGAGAAACTTAAACATTTGGAAAAGCCTGTAGGTAAGACTCCAATTAAGTTCAATAATTTAGGCTAATCCAGGACGATATGCCCATACTGTTACAGTCGAACAAAGTTAATAGCCCTTTCCTCAATCTCACCATCACTTGCTGGCTTCACTAGGTCAAGCATCTGGCAAAGTAAATCATGGAATGGCAGTGGCTCGATGCCCATCGCTTCCATCCGTTCACACTGCTCCTCGTAGAAGTACTCTAGCTCATACATGGAGAGCACACCGTCCCCATCCACATCCATGCACCGGAACCAATACTCAATGCTAGGAGATGAGGACACTCATTAGTAAGGTAAAGTCCATTACTCACTCAGATTCATTACTGCCCATGTTTTATTTTCTTTCTCTTGATTTATTTATGCAAACAGAACTGGGGTACAGGCCAGAGGTACAGGGGTGGTGAGAGTATTCACCAGAGACAGAGTGGGGAGCAGAACAGCCAGATGGACAAAGTACACTGCTGAGGGAAGTAGTAGGAGTAGGGGAGACAGGAGAGGTCTGCTGTGCCATGTGGGTCACCTCTTTTGCTGGGGACTGAACTCGTTGAAGCAGCTGCAGATAGCTTCATAGTACTGTGCTTTAACCTGCTGCGCCACCCATGTTTTTTTTTAAGTAAATTTACAAGTGACATATTTTAGAGACATATAAGGTTCTAGTTTTACAAAATTTGTTAGTAAAAATTGCATACCCTCAAACTAATACAACCACTATGGAAAACTGTTTGGAGGTTCCTCAAACTGCTAAACATGGAGCTTCCCTACGACCCAGCAATCCCACTCCTAGGTATCTACCCAAAAGACACAAAAACACTGATTGAAAAAGATACTTGTACCCCCATGTTTATTGCTGCTTTATTTACAATTGGAAAAACATGGAAGCAGCCCAAGTGCCCAAAAGTGGATGACTGGATTAGAAAGATGTGGTACATCTATACAATGGAATATTACTCAGCAACCAAAAAAGAGAAACACATGTCTTTTGCAGCAACTTGGATGGAGCTGGAAAAGATCATGCTTAGTGAGATAAGCCAGAAAGAGAAAGAAAAATACTGGATGGTTTCACTCACAGTAGGAGTATAATGGACCAGGCGAGAAAATAACAAAAATAATATGAACAACCATATACCGGAGACATTCTGTGGGGGCAGAGTGGGGAATGGGATCAAAAACAGGGGGGGGGGGAAGGGAGGGAAATGCACGGGACTATGATGGTAGCACAGGGGTGATTTGGTGATGGGAAACCCGCGGGGATTACAATCGAGATGGAAAAAAAAAATGTGCAAAATGATGTAAAAATAAACTTTGTAATAATAAAAAAAAAATTGCATACCCTTCCCTCAATTTTCCCTTCCTGAGAACCAGCTACTTTCAATATCTTATTATTTTATTTAGTTCCAGGTAAAATGACTCTTTGCTCCTTTATATTTCTTTAAAAAAAAAAAGATTTACTTATTATTTATACATACAGATTAGGGTACAGGTTAGAGTTACAGGGGATGAGAATATTTACCAGAGACAGAGTGGGGAGCAGAATAGGCAGATCGACAAATACATTTCTAAGGGGAGCGGTGGACAAGACAGGAGAGGTCTGCTATGCCATGTGGGTCACCTCCGGGACCAGGGATTGAACTTGCACTGAAGTGGCTGCAGCTGGATTACAGTGCTGTGCCCTAACCTGTTGATCCACTAGGGAGGGCCCGTTCCTTTATATTCTATATATTTTCACAGATGAAAAGAGTTTTTAACTCTCTTTCTACTTTACCTACCTGCCTTATCCAATCTCCTCATATAAATAACTCAACATTTAATTTATAAATTAATTTTTAAAAATCTATTTGCCTCCTTCTTGTGTACATATTACTAATTCAACCCCAAAATATCTGCTGGTTTTCTATAGTCACTATTAACTGGATTTTCCTGATGAAGTGTTTTTTGTTTCCTCTGTCCTGGCCTGGTTCAGTTTCATCCTAGAATCCTTCCATCTATTTCCTTTCTTGTATCTTACATTTTCCTTATTCTTGGTTCACTTCCTTGTTTGGTGTAACACATCCTTCAGTAGATTCCTGAAAGAGGATTATGGGTTTTGAGTAATAATGACCTCATATACTCATGACCTACTTATATATCTTCCTTTTCCTATTTTAAAAATTGGGTTGTTTTCTGTTATGTAATTTATATTTGAGTTCCTTGTATATTTTGGATACTAAATTTTATGAGATTTTTTTTGGAATTTTTTTTTCTCATTATTCACTCTGTTCACTCATTATTCTGTCTATTCACTCTGTTAATTGTTCTTTATTAAAAAATTTCTTGTTTGATGTAGTTCCACTTTTCTATTTTTGGTTTTGTTGCCTACACATTTGTGGCTCTATGCACAGGCACAGATATCAAACTGCGCAGGCATATGTCACTAAGCTTGTTTCTTAGGTTTTCTTCTAGTAGTTTTATAATTTTAGCCTTACATAATGTCTTTAATCCATTTTGAGTAGACTATTGCAATTGTAGTGAAATAAAAAAGTTAAATTTCATATTAGTGCATAGGGATAATCAATTTCCCCAACACTATTTAAGACTGTCCTTTTTTTTTTTTTTTTAAAGATTTATTTATTTATTCATACAGAACTGGGGTACAGGCCAGAGATGTGGAGGGTGATAGGATTCACCAGAGACAGAGTAGGGTGCAGAACAGACAGATCGATGAAGTACACTGCTGAGGGGAGCAGCGGGAGGGTCAGGAGAGGTCTGCCATGCTATGTGGTCACCTCCGGGGCAGGTGGGGATCGAACTCATGCAGAAGTGGCTTTAGCTTCTAGTGCTGTGCTTTAACCCGCTGCGCCACCAGGGAGGGCCCTTAAGACTGTCCTTTTTATGTGTGTGTTCTTGGCAGTCTTGCTGAAGGATCAACTGACCCTAAATAGGTGAATTTATTTCTGAACTCCCTATTCTGTTACATTAGTCTACTTGTCTGTTCATAGCATATCATGCTATTTTTGTTACTATATATTTGTAGAATCTCTTGAAATCAGGTAGTATGTGATACACCCAGTTTTGCTCTTGGTGCTCAAGATTGTTGTGGCAATTCCTGATATTTTATGGTTCTGTATGAATTTTAGGATTGTTTTTCTTATTTTTTTTTGTGAAAAATGTCACTGGAATTTAGATAGGTATTTTTTTGAATTTGTGCATTTCTTAACTAGGAATTTTCTCAACACGTAGGCTATCTTTCCATTGATTTGTTTTCTTCAAATTCATCAATATTTTAAAGTTTTCACCATAAAGATCTTTCCCTTCCTTGACTAAACTAGGTCTTAAGAATTTCATTTTGATACTACTGTAGATGGAGTTGCTAATTTCTTTTCCAGATACTATACTGTTGGTCTATAGGAATACCAGTAATTTTTGTATGTTATTTTGTGTTTTGCAATTCCCCTGGAATCCTTCGTTCTTGCTTAATGTAGTTAGTTGTTCAAGTTGATGCTTAGTAAGGGGAAGGGCAATGGAAATTTCTATTTTACCATCTTGCTGACATCAGTCTCTTGTGGCTAATTTTAAAAATTACATAGGAGATTTGCATCATATTTCATTTTCCAGTTATGCTGGATTTCTTGGACCAGCTAATTTTTATATCCTTTCTCAATTTTTGATTGCTTAATCTTTTTTTCTTTTTGGAAGATTTACTTAGTTATATTTTTTGAACATTCTGTATTTCATTTCTGTTATAGTTCTGATATCCCAGAGTTCTTTTTTGGTTCTCTGAATGTTCCTTTTATAAAAATTACTGTTCTGTCAATTTAATTTTTTCTCATCTCTCTCTCTAAGGATATTAATAAGTGTCCTTTTGTTGTTACTGCCGAATTTTTCTTCCGGAAATTCTTTTTCATTCAGGTCTACCCCACTTCTATTTGGTTTCTGTGTTTTACTGAAGAAGCTATACTCAAGTATTTAGTGTTCTTTTGTCCTCTTGCTCACATGTAAGCATTAAATGCTAAAAAGCAGATTGAAAGTACTGACTTATTATTGACTTTGGTATTTATTTTAAAATGACTTTTGCTTAGATCTTTCCTCACTGAATCAAAGTCAAGACTTCAGTTCTTTTTTGAAGTGGCTTTTAATTCTTAGTGCTGCGCTTTAACCTGCTGCGCCACCAGGGAGGGCCGCTGCATATTGGTTTTAACTTAACATAATCCCAAATGTTTGTTTTAATTTTTAATTCCGTTGCCAGAGAGTTGAGTCAATAAAAATATCTTTATTGTTTATGTCATGGAAGTTATCACCAGTTTTCTTCTATATATTTTGTTGCAGGTGTTAAGTCTAAATTTTTAATCTGTTTGGAATTTAGTATTGCATATGGTATTAGTGAGTAATCCAACTTTCTATCTTTATATGTGACTTCCCAATTTTCCCAGAACCATTTGTTAAAGACACTATCTTATCTCCATTTTATGGGCATGGATGTTTTATCATAGATTAGGTACTTCTGTATATGTGGACTTATTTATGGACTTCTGATTCTGTTCCTCTGGTCCACGTTTCTATTTTTGTGTCATTATCTGATTGTTTTTAATATTATTGCTTTGTTATAAAGCAATAATATAAAGCTTTATAACAAAGCAATATTATTGCTTTATAACAAAGCAATATTATTGCTTTATAACAAAGCAATATTATTGCTTTATAACAAAGCAATATTAT